GATCCCGAGGCGAGAGAGATTATTGATAATTAATTACCCTTTCAATTAAATAATTAATAATTGATTAATTAAAAATTATCATTAAATGTTAGTTTAATTGGTTTACATAATTTTTTAAATGGTGTGATTTGGGTTAATACGAGTTCGTTCGTGAAAGAGAAAGATTTATTTAAATGATGATGATAATAATAATGATATCGGTGATTTTATAAATTAAGAATTATGCATGTTGGAAATAATATATGTAAGAATTATGATGATAATAATGATGATGAGGATGATGTCATTTTTCATGAAGTTTATTTTTTAATAAGTTGAACTGGCCGTAGATCAAATTTTTCCACCCATTTTAAAGGTTAGCAAATTTTTTTAGTCAGTTTTTAATCATCTTCCTTCTTATCATCGTCACCATCATCACAGTTATTATAAAATCATCACATCAAATCAATATCTTTATCATGATTTGAATAATATCATCAATTTCATCCTGTTATTTGTCACACTGTTATCTATTTGTCATCATCATCACCATCATCATTTTTATCATTTTCTTCTTTAATTCATCATCACTCTTATATCATTTTCTATGATTTTACAAATAACTAAAACATACATATTATATATAGCCAGCAAACAACAACACACAACGATTTTACAAGTTCACAACAAGAACAACAACGAACAAACAAACAAACGAACAAACAAACAAACGAACAAACAACAAACATACACAATGCTTGTTTCGATAATATGGGCCACATCGATTATAGCAACATTATTAAAATCAATAAGCATGACAACAGTTTTATAAAAACGTAAAAATAAAAACAATAACATTAATCACAATAATATGAATTGGAGCAAGAAATAGCAAGAATGACATCAAGAACAATAATACCATCAATAAAAACAAAAATAACAGCATCAGCAAAATTTACATACACATCAGCAATCAACTAATTTATCAACCAACTAATCAACCAGCCAACGAACCAACCGACAAATCAATCAATCAATCAACAAATCAATCAAACAACCAATCAACCAACTAACTAACCAAACAACCAACCGATCAATCAATCAATCAACCAATCAATCAACCAACCAACCAACCATCCAATCAACCAACCGATCAATTAACCAATCAATCAACCAATCAATCAACCAATCAATCAACCAATCAACCAACCAACCATCCAACCAACCAATCAATCAATCAACCAATCAACCAACCAACCAACCAACCAACAAACCAATCAACCAACCAACCACTTTATATAGCGTTTTATTCAGCTGAAGATTAATTTTTATATAAAGAGTATTTAAAGTATTTACTCGCTCAATGCTCGAGTGCTACCATCGTCGTCGTCGTCATCATCATTTTTCATATTAGTTTTCTCACAAAATTAATGTTGCTGTTATTATTATTATTGTTGTTTGTCGATAAATTTAAAATTATTATTGTTGTTGTTGTTGTTATTAATATTATGTATGGTGATATATATACGTAGGTAGGTAGATTTAATGTCCTAGATAATTTAGGTTATAACTGGCAGCAGCATAATCATTTGTATCATCGTCTGCGTCATCAAATCGTCATAATTATCATATTATCATTTTCTTTTAATGTTAATAAATTTAAATTCTGGAAATAATTCAGCGCGTTGTTATGCAGTATTAACAGAAATGCAATATGTTACTTTATGGTCAGTTCAACATGATCAAAATGTCGTCTGCGTGTGTTTATGTGTGCGTGTTGTATGTGTGTGCGTGTTGTATGTGTGTGTGTGTGTGTTGTATGTGTTGTTGTAACGTCATCTAGAAAGAAATTTCTCGAAACTTTCTGGCCAACATTGTATACATCACAGACGTACAACACAAGGCATGTAGCGTTACGTTAAAAAATTTGTCCAACTTTGTCATTTTACAAAAAGGAGTTTATTCACGTTTTGAGACCACCGCCTGACATTCACTCTCATATTTCCCCTAAACGATGAACCAACTCACCCACTAGCAATAACGTCCAACCTCTAAATGACGTCACTAAACTGCTAGCAATTATCTTCACGTCATCCTTAGCATAAACATGACATCTGGACTCATAATT